CATCGCGAATATCGATGTCTGCTACCACCTAACGAATGCAGGGTTGCAATATTGAATTTCGGTTATGTAACTGAAGGGAAAATCGAGACAAAGAATAAGACATAAAGGTAGCGTCTCAGTCTTGACAGAATTGATAGAATAGCTTGGGGTAGCAGTAACGCTCTAGAACTGAAAATAATTTGGGTAACACCCTCTTCGATTCTCAACCGGACAGCCAGCTGTTACGAGTTAAGTAATGATTTATCACGGCGAGAAATGATTGTCGGGAAGCTAGATAAAATATTCTCCGTCTTTTATGAGACTCAAAGGTCCATTACCGTGTTTACAAAAGCCTGCAATCGTTTCCTAACCTTAGCCAGATCTGTGTACTCCACACCATCCCTATTTCAATAAGATTCATGCTAATAATTTCTCTACATCTACGCCTATATCTTCCTACCTGTACCTTCTCATAGGGACCTCAAAATAAAATGTTGTATTAATTTTTCATTACCCCATGCCTGCTATGTGCTCCACCCATCTATTTTTTTTATAATTTTCTTGATACTCTTTTTGAAGAATTTGTTCTATAGAGATTCGCGAATAGAATATATATAGACTACTAATTCATCCTTCGAAATCCTTGTCAATTCACCATTCACAATAATGTTCCCATCTTATCCAACCCTGCATAAAATTTGATTTTCAAACAGCGCAGTTGAAACGATGAAACTTTATTTATTTATAGTTCGTTTAACGACGCTGTCGGTAGGTCAGACTATACACACGGCATCAAGTGAGACGATAATAGTGAATTAGAATGGATGTCGAAGGAATCGGTTTTGACGTAATTTGAGGTTGTACACAAATATTTGCCTGGAGAGACGGAGGAAAACCACAAAAACCCTCAGTCAGGATAGCCTGCCTCGTTGCCGAGATTTGAACCCGAGAGCTCCCGAATACGTAGGAGGAGTGTTAACCACTTTCGGTCAAACAATAAATCCTTAAAAAGGGATTTACTGTTCAAATATTACCGTATTTTTTCGTATCTAGTCAGTAATTTTTGCCTACAAAAGGGGAGTGGAGAGAACTGGTAAGGCGCAGGTCGTCTGCGCTTGGGGTCTCGGTTTAAGACTCGTGATTCTACGTCCACAATTTTAGATAGGGCTGGATGAGGAAGGAAAAAGAAGAAACAGAAATGGCTGTCTGGTGTAGGGGTGAAGCTTTAGGCTCGTGTTCCAGAGTTAACCTAGTCATCCTGACAGGTTTGTAGTCACTTTACCTGAAACCCTTTCGCCCATAGCAATTTTACCTACACCATTTCACCTACATTTATTTTCCCAAAGGCTATTTCATTTACCTTCCAGTCCACCAGTTGGGGTCCGCAGTGGCCGCGCGGTCTGAGGAGCGGGCCTTGTGCCGCTTGGTGGCTGGGACCGTGGGTTCGAATCCCACTCAAGCCATGGATGTTTGTGCTGTCCTGTGTACAGGTAGAGACCTTGCGACGGGCCGATCCCTCGTCCAAGGAGTCCTACCGGATGTCTATAGATCAAAGCCAACGAAAAGTTGGGACCCGCAGTGCTCAGGCATTTGAAGAACGGGTCGTTCCCAGTATCCCGTCTACCAAATACCATTTTGTCTATACAATTTTATCTGTTAAGTCGGGATAAACAGTCCCTTGTACTTTTTAAGGGGTAAAACTGTATGCTGTTTATATGATAGTGTTAGGCGAAACAGGACGCAAGCATTTTATCTTTGCCTTGAAACGCCGTTATGTATAAAGCATAAATACATATAATATATTTATTTCGATAGTAATATTTTATATTTGTGCACGGACTTAAAAAATTAATTATTTGAGTAAGGTGCAACAATGTGAGGTCATTTTTACATTAAAATCTTATGAAATATGTACATATTTTTTATGTATTCGCAAGTCAGACGTAAATCGTTGTTATTGCCGTCTACAAAACTTCTTTGGAACCTCAGTATTCCTCCTGTTATTTTGGCAATCCGAAATACAGGAAGTGAAATTTATATACTTTTTGCTGAATTATGAAAGGAATTTTTCATATTGCAGAAACTGCTTGTCATTGGACCGATGAAAACCAATACACGTGTTATCTGGAATAGTTTAAAGACAGTCCACTGAATCACACGTAACATAAATGATTCGTAGTGAAACTAAAGTAGACAGGTTGACATAGGTGAAATTGTTGTAGCTAATAGTTATAAAATAGTTTATAGTTGTTCTCAACTTCTCTGTATAGTTAGTGTACTGAAATATGCAAGGTTAACTTTGAAAGTACATAACTGCTTAATATTCATTATTATCTTCCCATCTTACTAACGCTTCATAACATATGCAGTTCAAACAGAATTTTGTAGAAATATGTTAATCCACAACAAACGCACTACTCACGTCATTCATAAGTCAAACGAGAATTTATTATTATCATTATTATTTGCGTTTTGTTTTCTGCTGTCTATTATTGGATAAAATAGAGCTCGGAGAACGCGGTTGTGAGTGACTATGGACATTTTCTGTATTTATTTTAATTTACTGTCTTCAAGATTCTTAATTTATCTTTAAGACGTCTACAGTAAAACGTCTTCAGTTGTAATATTAATTAATACTATAATCTTCTGTTATTTATTACATAACTATTCATATGACACATGTTTCAGGAATGTTGAATTAAGTGGGTGGATTTATCCCATGTGACTGGCCAAAACAAAATAAATTTAATTTAATTACACTTCCAGAGTATGGAATTCAAACCGAAAACCCTTTCAACCCATTTGGTCTAATGAACTATCGAGAATTTAATTTTGATTTAAGGGTTCTTAATGAGTTGTATCAGATGTACTTATTTTCGAGTATCATGGGTATATACTTAAGAGGTAGCTACCACAACCTATTCCAAGGCATTATAATGCAAATGTCCTAGAGGATTTGTGAAGATATATGTGATTGCTAGTGTTGTAATCAAGATTTGAGCCAGATACCTTCCTAATGCCGATCCGGACAAGTATTTATGTTTATCGATTTTGAATTTATGTATTACACGTGTATAGGATGTTTAAGGTATATTTTCAAGGTAATCAAATTTTCGGACGTTCCTGTATAAGCCTCTTATTTTTCACGCACTTATGCCCTATTTGTTTACAGTCCGTCACACAATTGTTCGTTTGACCATGACTGCAGGACTTGTATGAGGTCATCAATGATTCTTTTCTTGCATTTCCTGTTCACGATACACCATCATGATCTGTAACCACTGACGTTGACATAACGTTATTAAAATACAAATTAAATTACATGTCAAATTATATGGTAAGTGGCTTTCGGCAGAGAAACACAAAGTAGACTGTATTGCCAGTCATTAACTTAAGGAAATCTATAAAAATTTGGAACGGCCTTTCTGTAATATTTAAGGGAATAATTTTATTATTAAAGAGATCATTGGGATTATTAATTGTACAGAGATAACGCAGAAGGCTTATATCAGTGACGACGTTTCTGTAAATTGCAGTAAGCAGTTTTTAAGCAACATTCAAACAGTCTACTTCATTCGATTTGCATGACCTGACCTGGATCTTGCAGTACACAGTAGCCACCAGCCTGATAGTTGAGGTGTGCATTGCAGATCATTCTAATTTAACATTCATTTGCCCATCAAACAACGTCCAGAGCAAATATTTTCGTTTAAAGCTCTCGTTGGGGTTACGCAAACACGCAGTGTTGTTTCAGAAAGGATACCGCCATATTTGATTACTCAGAGACCGCACCTCGTGTATTCTTCCCACAATTCTACATTTGTATTCGTAAGCTTTCAAGAACTGTGAAGGGACAATTGGCAGCGCTTATTAAAAAGTGCAGGTGCATCTGAAACAATCCGAATTCTAGGCGGAACTCAGTGTCCTATTCCTAATTCATGTTTTTAAATGGTTTCTATTCTATTTTGGACTGTTATTACTAGGATAATTAGAGACCACTCTAATTTTATTGTACAACAGCGCTACCTCAAGACTAGTACTTACATGTGTTTCTACTGCTAATGGTATTTGCAGAAATGTCTACATTTTAAACAAGGATTATATTTCGTCTACTGGCATTGCAGAAATTCACATTCAACTGTACTTTTAAGCCTTGCTTTGCCGTTATTCTTTAGATTTTATGTTATGTATTTGGATCATGTTTTACTATCTGATCTTGAATGTTACATTTGTACTTAATTTTACTATCTTATTTGCTTTTTATAACGTATTTTGTTGTTTTAATATTTATCCGTACTGTTTCCATTTTTTGTAAAGAACATTAATAAATTAATTAAATTGAATTGTAGTGTTATTATTACTTCGTAACGCTTATTTGGGTCAGTAAGAACCGAGAGATTTAGCCATATGATAAAGTATCTGACACTGAATATCTTAGACAAGCGATAACAGGTTTTAATTTTAAAATCCTGCAGATTTATCAGAGGTAGAACCTTAAAATACATTTGGCATTTCCTGTCCTTTGACATTCTCAAGGCGGTGAATTTGTCCTTGTTTGTTTTTCGGATTTTAACGCTGTGTGAACTTGTCGATAGATACCAGCCTTGTGGAGAAACTTCCTGTTTAAGTCTTCAGAACTGCAAATATATTCAGTATATTCCTCAGAAACCTTCGCATTTACTTACCACACGACCTTAAATCACAGAATACCAACATCAACAATAATCACTACCCTTAATTTACTTCGTATTCATCTTGAACTCATAATTTGAAGCTTCACAACCCAACTGACTGATACAGTGTCATTAAATGGCCCATCGAGTTATATTATTGACTACTCTTTACGATATGAGTAATTAAACAAATTAGTCTTGGTAAGAATCAATTCACACAACAGTTGTGCACAAGAAATGAACCTACGACCGCTCTGGATTGGCGTGACGCTGGAGCGCCGCGACGATATTGGGGTGCGCATGCGCCGGGGCGGGGTGGTCTGTGCGTGAGGTTACAGTGCTGCTAGGTCTGGCGTGTTGTCAGTGCGGATCTAGGCGGCTGGCTGTCATGCGGTAGTCGCTGAGGATGGTTTCCGAGGTTTTGCTGTTCAGCTACGCGCTCCTGCTCGGTGAGTAGGCTGTGGTGTTCCAGTGGGGATTAATTATAGCACGAGCGGTCAACTGTGGACAGAGGGGAAGAATACATTATTTATCGCATTCGCTATAACATTAACTTGGAGGAATTGGTTTCCGGACTTCGAAAATATACGTGAAATTTCTGTCTTACAAAATTAGACTTCGTTATTTGTACTGACAGGAATTGTAGCTATGGTAGAGTGTTAGGAGGCTATACGCTGGCTTCTCAGCACTATTAGTCCATCGGCCTCTTGACTTCTACGGTGCCCGTGACATGTCAACATGTTCTTGAGACAGACACTTGTCTTACTGCATTTGGCTGGTCTCGGAGTGAAGCTAGTTTTTGATACAGTTACGATAGGACCTTTTGGCAATGGACGTTCTGTGTCTGTGAAGGAATGAATTTTGTTTTTGAGTAACTGCTGTGTTCAGAAACTGTTCTGCATTGTGTTAGCTGAAATTTTTGGTGATTTAGCGATAATTTAAGAAGGAACGCCGATGTAGCGTTTTGAAAACAAATTTAAAGAATTTCTCGCCCGTTTTAAGTTACTGTTATATCTTTTACATTAAAGGAGTTAGAAAAAGTCAGCGACAAGATTATAGGCCTCTATCAAAACAATGGTAGGCTGTTATGAAGTATATGAGTGTTAACCGTTACATCATGATTTAGGTTATTTTCATGTTCCTTGCTGTTTTTGAAGCACTTTCATGCAGTGATATTTGGGTAGAAGATTGTTGATTTTACCGCGGTCTGTGAATTACTGGAAGTGAGATTGTTTCGTGTTCTTTCCGACGATAGTTAGAAGGAGAAGACCGATTTCCGGGCTTTGAAAACAAAGTGAAGATTATTAGGCGCATAAACATAGACGCAGTATTAACACGCATGGGCTATTAGTGCTAATTTTACTACTGACCTGGGAGTCATTAAATACTGCACGATTTGTTCGTTGTTTTAACATTCCAGTGGCATAGATTATTTACAACGTCAAAATTTGCCATGACTGAAAGATTAATTGGAGACGATTTGAATGAAATCTGTGTGGTACGTTGCAAGAAACAGAGATACTGAGAAAAATTGCGATAATTATCATTCAGAACAGCAGATCTCCGGGCTGAAATTTTAACTCCCGACCGACTTACACATTCGATTATTGTATTCGATATCGTTAGTTGACAGGCTTGTCGTACATGATTGAGAGACTTCCGTAACTATTTTTATTATAACCTGTAGCAACCATTGTGCTGCATAAAGGTTTATTGGTGTTACTAATACCGCTATATGAACTATCTGAAACTGAAGCATCTCTAAGTATTCAATAATTCAGTCCGTACCGGAAGAAGAGCATTACACATCGGCCTCTTTTAATACAGGGTGGATTTGTGGTGCATAGTTGAAGTGTTTAAAGCTCTCTTTCATTTATCGACATCGCTGGTCGCTCGCAGATCGACACCCAAAAGGAGAGGAGATAATTCTCTTCGTTGTAACGTCAGGACAGGCTTTCGGGTCGCCCAGCCCCCTGTCTTGTACATTGAGGGGGCTGTTTACCAGAGGCAAAACGGCTGGAACGTAAAGCTAACGACTTACCTCTAGCTACTGCTGATGTAAGGTACGCTTATGGATTAAAGGTGTAGGTGCTTAGACATAGGGGAAATTACTGGGGAAATGTGTGTAGCTTTGAGATGAACAGATAACTGTTAATTGAATCATTAAGATTTTTAAATTTAGAATAATAGTTGTTGCTTAATGCGTGGTGAAAACAGATATGGTCCTTATGAGCGACACGGTAATGCCTGCGTAATTTGTCTCACGTGTGTGCTGGAGTTACGAAGTGTTGACGCACTTAAAGGGATGACATGTTGTCTGAATGGCATTTCACAAGCCGTGACCAGACTTTCTATGCCGACCTGTATGGGCATTTACCTTGACTTGCAACGGTTTTGTTGAGACAATTTGATTGTGGATTGCAAGGCGTAGCAAAGGAAGAACTGATATTAAGGCCAAGTGAAGGTCCCGGGTTGTAGTCTTGGCGCTGAGACCAGCTATCCTGACGAAGGTTTTGGTAGCTTCTCAGTCCGTCCAGGAAAATTCTATTATAATACTTTAAATTTGTCCACGACCATTTCCTTCTGTGTTATTTCCAAATCATTCATTAATCATCCAATCGTTCTGCGCTATGTGGTCAGAGTGGAAATATAAAC